CCTACTAATTATTGTTTACACTTTCGAATAACTTATCATGAAATTTTCAAATGCTTTTTTCTTGAAAATGGTACGATCTAGCGAGATGCAACAAAAGTAGCTTTATTATAAAGAAAACATTGATTTTCCAAATTTTATAGTCAAAAACGTTAAAAACTGTCAACGAAAAAAAACTTAGGGCAATTTTACCCTAAGCTTCTCCTAATTTACCCACCTATGAAGATGATCCATTAAATAAAGCGTAAAAATTTAAGCATTTTTATCAAACTTCACTCAGTTATCTTTAAACGTTTATAAAATATTTACAAAAGAGTGTCATCAGGACTTCACTTTAAACACCCCGTATCTCGGAATTAGAAACGTTTTCGGATCTATATTTATATAAACTTTGACTTCTATTTTAGAATGTAGATTATGCTGTTAAAATATGACCGTCTAATTTCGGGACATTCTGTATAGTCGACGGCACAGATAAATTTTACTATTCCACAAATAAATATCAGTATTATTAATATGTTTATATATAATTCACAAAGACACCGCCGACGTTCAGACTTAGAAAACCCAGTTGTCAAACTGCAAAAAAAAAGATGCGTTCAATTCCATTACAGCTAAACGACTGTGTACATTTAGCGCATAGTACCCTTCGAGCAAATATATTCGGAGCTAGAATGTCAAATATTTTATGCCTGGCAGCGTTGTATGGCAAGCACGTTTAGGTCAGATTAATATTGTACAGCTTAATTTTAGCGTCCTGCTATTGGCTGAATTGAGCAATTCTCAAATTTATATTTGTAGAGCACACGATAGGCCGTAATAAATGCCGCTAAACGTGGACTGGGATATCTAATCGTACGTCTGTGATTTTGCTCAATTTATTTTAATGCGAGCTATTTAATTATTCAGTCATGCTCTAATCATCCAAGTCCCTCTCTATCTTATTTGACCTTTGAGGCTCAACTTGTCCGATAATCATACATAATTAAACCCCTTAAGACCAAACCTATGTGACGATTATGGCGGAGGCGCTTTCTAGAACTTTCCAGGTAGGTGATAATGTTTTTAGTTTTGGCAGAAATCATTCTGGAATCCACCAGAATTTTAAATGTGCACATAAATATTGGTGGAGGAACAACGCAGCAGTAAACAGCTGTGAAGATAAATAGTAAACAATTAGAGACTTCGAAATATATATAAATTAGAGTAGTGATGTTTTAAAATAAATAAGTGTTTACATATATTATTTATTAACAAATAAACTGTTGTTTGAAATAAACAAACGTAACGTTGGTGTTAGAAGTGTGATAGTGTAAATATAGTTATTAAAACTACTAAAAGACTGTGTGATTTAAAAGTAACCGAGCTACGTCGGGAGTTAGAAGATCGCGAGTTGGAGACGACAGGGAAGAAAGCAGAACTGGCAGAACGACTTAAAGAAGCAATAGAAAATGAAGGTTTTGATTCGGAAACGTATCTATTTTCTGATTATTCATCTTTTGCTATAATTTCTTCAATTTCCTCCGATATGGAAAGTAAAATCTCTTCCTTAAAAACCGAAATGTCTTCTGATATGACTCAATGAAAACCGATATTTCTTCAAACATGTCTTATTTAAAAACCGAAATTTCATCCGATTTGGAAACTAAAATGTCTTCCATAAAAAATAATATATCTTCTGATGTTTCTTCTATATAAAGTAATATTTCCTGCTTAGAAATTAACGTTTCTTCCGATATATCTTCCTTGAATGATAAAGTTTCTTCTTTAGAAAGTAACGTTTTATCTGATATTTCTTCCTTAGAAGAGAAGGTGTCTGCTGAAATGGCTTCTATGTAAATTAAAGTCTCCTCTGATATATCTTCTATAAGAAATGAAATTTCTTCTGTTGAGGAAAAAATAATGTTATTCGTCGAGGAGAAAATAAAAGAATGGAGAAAAAGATAGAACTGCAATATTTAGATCTAACCAAGAACGGTGAAATAAAGTGTCATGAGGTGGAGTCAAAGTTAAAATTGGAAGGAGATGTAAACTCTGCTCGTGTTAAAGCCCCAACTTTCGACGGAAAGATGTCATGGACCAACTACCTTAAACAGTTTGAAACAGCTGCCAGAGCAAACGAATGGTCTGAACGAGAGAAGGCAGTAAATTTGACCATCGTTCTTCGAGGATGTTTTTCAGACAATACCTGTGGAACAGACAGATAATTTTGAACAACTGAAAAAGATACTCAATATATCCACGAATACTTGGAGCAGGTGTACTGATTACAGTTGAAGAATCGCAAACAGAAACGTGACGAGAGCTTTCAAGAATTCGAATTAGATATTGCGAAGATGGTGCGATTTGCCAACCCATCAGCTCTGGAATACATGATTAAATGTTTGACCGTTCAAGCTTTTGTAGATGGACTTAGTGGCCAAGAAATGCAAAGAACACTTCGTGTAGCCTATCGCAAAACATTGGTCAGTGTCTTGTCCGCTGCTTTTGAATATGAAACGGATACGCTGGCTTCTGGTAGATACTGTAATGAAGTCAATTTTCATTACTATATTTCGGCCTATTCCGGATATAAATTTCAATTTTTATTTTATTTTAACTTCATGGGTAGACCCTGTATATCAAATTTTGTTTCATTTAAATTCGCGTATTATACCTGAGTAACGATAGCGCGCGCGATCCGTGCACACCAAGTGGGGAGCCAGCCTGCTTGGGCATAGAGACTCGGATTCAGCATTCAGTATTAAAAAGCATTCACTTTACCGATCTCGACTAGCTTGATTTCATTTTTCCGACCTCGTTAAGTCTGCTTCGTTATACGCCGTAATATCATTGCCGAGACCGTAGTTAGGTACACCGAATTCATGTTTACGTTTTTTTTTCTCTCGTCGGTTCTTGAGCTAAACGTTCGAATACCAGTTTTATTTGATTAAATTATTCCGTTTTCGATTTTATTTAATAGAAATAATAATTGACTTTAGATTTTCGTTAAAAATATTTTCATTTTCAGATAAATTATTTAGTTTTGATTTTATTTAGAAACATTGAAAATTAGTTTTGGTTATTAGGAAGTAGAAATTTTGTTTCTATTTTATTAATTACTTAATTTTCATTGCGACCGTGGATGTTGTTTCTATTTTTAAGTAATAATAAATTTAAATTTAAAATTAAATTCCGTATATAGTTAATTACTTAACTTTTACTACGACCATAAATTTTGTTCCTATTTATTTACAATCTGGTTTAACTTTTTTTTTTCCTTTTATGTTTCTTTACTTGGGAATAGAATTAGTTCGAAAGTTGGAAAGTTGAAATAGTATCATTTTTCATGTTGAGGGGACTGGTTTTGGCGAGAAAGCTCACATGGGATTAGATACTATCCCGGTTTTAGATTTTTTTTAGATTAACCCCTAGCCGTGATTAACATATTAGTGTTTTTCTTATGTTTGAGAGGGCTGGTTTTGGCGAGTATACTCATCATAGGATAAATACTGACCCGGTTTAATATTTTGTTTTATGTTTGAGCGGGCTGGTTTTGGCGAGTACACTCATCATAGGATTAAATACTAACCCGGTTTTTGATTATTTTTTTTTAGTTACCTCCGCGCCATGATTAAAATGATAGTATCATTTTTATGTTGAGCGGGCTGGTTCTGACGAGTGCACTCCATAGGATTGATACTATCCCGTTTTCTTATTATTTATCTATTCCCTATTCACTCACACAAGGAGGTTTGTTTCAGTTTCAATACCGACTAGATAGTTAACCAGATAACTTTTTCTACGACCGTGATTTTATTTCTGCTTTTACGAAACAAAATATTTAGGTTCAACCTTTTTGCCGATTTAACAGTTAACTAGCTAACTTTTGCTACGACCGCAATTATTTGCCATT